CCATCCTGACGATGCGCACCGCCATCACGCCGCCAATGCCCTCGGATGCGCGTCCGATGACGACCCCGGAGGAACGCCACCCACATCAGCACGCCAGACCCCGGACCCGGCCGGGGCCGACCCCTCGACCGACATGATGGCCCGTCTGGATGCCGCGTACCTCCACTACCTCAATGCCCTCGGATACACGTCCGATGACGACCCCGGCCAGGTGGGCCCCGACCCCGGCCCGGCCCACTCCCGGCACAATAGTCCCCGCCCCATGACGCCGGAGCCGCCGAGCCTCTCGCCCGGCCCCGAGGAGCACTACCTCTCCGGGCCGGACCCGTACTTTGACATGCTGATTCGCTTTGCCAAAGCACACCGCGTCTACCTCAGGGCACTCGCCGACCGGGAGGATGCCCATGACGCGGCCCATGCCGAGGACGGGCCCGATCACCGGCCAGGCGTCGTGCCGGGCCCCCAGCCGCGACCAGCCCGCGCGGGCCACGCAGCCCCCCGGCGCACCGGGCCCCAGCCCATTGGCCAGAACTTCAGGGTGGCACCCCCGCCCCCGCCCCCGCGCCGGGAGGGCCGCCAGCGCCGCGTCGGAGAGACATGGCGCCATGCGGCGGCGTCCTACACGAAAAAGGGCCCGCTCATGTAGCGAGAGCGTGCATGACATAGTGTCGCCCGAGACCAAAAAAAAAAACCCCTTCTCATGCATGCTTCGCGCATCCCCCAGTATGTGGGTCTTATCGGATGTCGAGAATTCCCCCCCCCCAGTCATGGCCGGTCTCCGGGCGGGGGGGGGGGGGGGCGAAGACCCCTGGCCGTAACGGTCCCCCGCGGGGCGAGGGCGAACACCCTGTCCCGTCATAATGGCGCAATCGGCTCGGGTCGGCCGATTTAACCTGGACCCTGGCGTACCTACGCAGGGTAACCCCCGGAGCCGCCGAGACTCGCCGCCCCGTGCTTGATCAGAAGGCCCGTGCTGAATAGAGCAGAACGCCGCCAGATGTCGAGTCGTCCCCCTTGCGGCCATGAAGTCGCCTGGGGGGGGGGGGGGG